TTTTGAGACAGAGTCTCGCTCGGTCCCCCAGGCTGGAGTGCAGTGGCGCGATCTCAGCTCACTGCAATCTCCGCCTCCCGGGTCCTCGCCATTCTCCTGCCTCAGCCTCCCAAGTAGCTGGGACTACAGGCGCCTGCCACCTCGCCCGGCTAATTTTTTGTATCTTTAGTAGAGATGGAGTTTCACCATGTTAGCCAGGATGGTCTCCATCGCCTGACCTCCTGATCCGCCCACCTCAGCCTCCCAAAGTGTGGGATTACAGGCGTGAGCCACCGTACCTGGCCAAATACTCATATTATTAAGAGAAATGTTTACAAAAGGTTAGTTACCTCTGATGTTCCCCAGAAGGAGAGGGCAGGCTCTTTAAAGGAGGAGGACGAAGCCACCTTGGCTGAAGGAGAGAGGAATTGACAGCCATGATTGTTGGTGCGCACTGCGGCCGCCAGGGGGTGCTGGGTGCACGCAGCACGGAGACTGCAGTCTCCTCCCGTCGCCTCCCAGGGCCCTCAGCAGCTAAGTGTGCAGGAGAGGGTTGCAGACACCAGGGTCCGTGTGTGGCTTGGCTGCTGGAAATAGCGCCACTGAAAAATCGACAGGAGAGTCCCCAGCCCTCCAGCCCTCCAGCCCTCCAGCCCTCCAGCTCATTGTAGCCTTCAAAGACCCCTGGCCCCAAAACTACGCGATTCAAGGTATTTTTAGTATTTGGCCCATCCGGCCCCGCCTCTCACGTGTCTGAAAATAGCTCCTGTCCTCTTGCTCTTCCCTCAGACGCTTCTGATGAGCAGAACTCACAGTCCTCGATGGAACATTCGATGAACAGCTCAGAGAAAGTAGATCGGCAGCCGTCTGGAGACTCGGGTCTGGCCGCAGAGTCGTCTGCAATCTCTCAGGTACCTCGCTCGAGGTCTCAGAGGGGCAGCCAGATCGGCCGGGAGCCCATTGGGTTGTTGGGGGTACGTTGAAAGGTGTTTCGTCATTGTGTTTTGTTGTTTTGTCGTTGGACCGTTGGAACTGTCATTTGTCCATCAGGCGATGTCCATGAACACAGTCCTGGGCTCTGCCTTGGGCTCTGGGGCCAAGGGGTAATGAGACTCCTGGCCTCTGCCCTCAAGGAGCCTCTGGGTGGGAGGAGGATGAAGGGACTTGAACCCAGCCTCAGCTGCCGCGTTTTGTCTGTTCGGGTTCTCAAAAGCATTGCCTCGTCTCAGTGATCCGCAGATAGGTGAGCTTTAGAGCTGGGAAGACAAGACTTCAGAAACCTAAGTGGTGGCGCCTCCTATGGAGTGGTGCCGCTGACCCCACTTGCACTGCGTGGGCCCCTCTCCAGGGCATCACTCTGTGTTGGAATCTGGTCTGAATGACTCAGCACAGGTGCAGTGGGGCTTGGTGGTTAGGAGCAAACCTTCCAGAGTCGGGCCCAAGTTTTAATCCCAGCTCCCAAAATGGGATCACAGAACTGTCTTAGGGCCACCATGAGGATTCGATGGGAGAACATAGGTAAAACTTAGCGTGGAGTAGACACGAGATGCAGAATTGTTATTGGACGTGACCACTATTAGGATTTTTCACTGTAAATCTAGACTCTTTTTTTTTCCTTTGAGACAGAGTCTCACTCTGTCACCCAGGCTGGAATGCAGTGGCATGATCTCGGCTGACTCCGACCTCCACCTCCTGGGTTCAAGCAATTCTCCTGCCTCAGCCTCCCAAGTAGCTGGGATTACAGGTGCCTACCACTATGCCCAGCTGATTTTGTATTTTTAGTAGAGATGGGTTTCACCATGTTGGCCAGGCTGGTCTCAAATTCCTGACCTCAAATGATCCACCCCCTCAGCCTCCCAAAGTGCTGGGATTACAGGCGTCAGCCACCACGCCCAGCAACTTCAAAATCTTTAAACCCTTTGATCGGCAGCTCCTGTTCCAGGAACTCACCCTGTGGAACCCTCTCCACATGCCCTAGCACAAAGGGGCTGCTTAGGGAAATCGGGTCTTGTCTGAGACAGACTGGGGTTCAGCCGTTTCGAAGAGCATGGTTGGGCCTTCCAGGTTCTGATAAACATTCATGCAGTGTGCAGTGAGAAAAGCAAGCTGCAGATCCAGCAGGCATAGCATGAGCCCATCTGGTTAAAAACAGTAGAAACCAAAGCCTGGTGATTTATATTAAGACCAAGGTTGTTGGCTGGGATCTCTGGGCCTCTTGAGCTCAGAGAAGAAAAGCTCAGCTTGAAACTTTGATCCATACCCTGAGAGTATGCAGTGCTCCCCCGGCAGTACCTGGAAATACCAGGTACTGGTATTTGGGGGACCATTCTCACATCGCCCCCACTACCCCTACTCTTGCTTCCAGGAGACCCAGACCTAAAATTGGGCCTCTTCCACCATTGTCACAGGCACACTGACACACATACTGTCCATGGAGCTAGGTGTGAGTGACATGGGGATATACTCCAGTAAAGCAGACAGCCTGACATTTCAAGTGACACATTTTTGGCAGGGTGCAGTGGCTCACATTTGTAAGCCCAGCACTTTGGGAGGCTGAGGCAGGTGGATCACTTGAGGCCAGGAGTTCAAGACCAGCATGCGCAACATAGCAAGACCCCCGTCTCTCCAAAAAAAGAAAAACAAAATTAACCAGGCGTGGGTGGTGCGCACCTATAGTCCCAGCTACTCTGGAGGCTGAGGCGGGAGGATCACTTGAGCCTGAGAGTTCAAGGCTGCAGTGAGCTCTGATCATACAACTGCACTCCAGCCTAGGTGACAGCAAGACCCTGTCTAAAAAAAAAAAAAAAAAAAAAAAAAACAGAAAAAAGGACAGAGAGGACAACAAGGCAGCCTTCCTGACTCCCTGCGATCCCTGCTCCCAGGGTTCCCCAGAAGGGGCTCATGTCACCATCTCTGCAAGTCCATCACACGTCCTACTTGAGGCCTCTCTGCAACATTGATCTCTGAGAACCCACCATGGACCAGGGGCTATACCTAGTCCCTCCCTGCCACGGTGAGGCTGACAACGGGCCCAGGATAAGCAGATATAAGCAGGTCACGGAGTCCCACTAAGTGCCGTGAGAGAGAAACAGGGTGATGTGAAGAAGCAGAACAGGCTGGCTGGGCGCGGCGGCTCACGCCGGTAATCCCAGCACTTTGGGAGGCCGAGGCGGGTGGATTGCGAGGTCGGGAGATCGAGACCATCCTGGCTGACATGGTGAAACCCCATCTCTACTAAAAATACAAAAAATCAGCCCAGCATGGTGGCGGGTGCCTGTAGTCCCAGCTACTCAGGAGGCTGAGGTGGGAGGATCACGAGCCCAGGAAGTTGAGGCTGTAGTGAACCATGATTGAGCCACTGCACTCCGGCCTGGGCAATAGAGTGAGATCCTAAACAAAAACAAAGGCCGGGCGCGGCGGCTCACGCCAGTAATCCCAGCTCTTTGGGAGGCCAAGGCGGGTGGATTGTGAGGTCAGGAGATAGTGACCATCCTGGCTAACGCAGTGAAACCCCGTCTCTACTAAAAATACAAAAAATCAGCCTGGCATGATGGGGGGCGCCTGTAGTCGCAGCTACTCAGGAGGCTGAGGCAGGAGAATGGCTTAAACCCAGGAGGTGGAGCTTGCAGTGAGCCGAGATCCGGCCGCTGCACTCCAGCCTGGGCGACAAAGCGAGACTCCATGTCAAAAAAAAAAGCAGCAGCAGCAGCAGAACAGGCCACGGGTAGAGGGTGTTGTGGCTGGCGTCAGCAGGGAGGGGCTGGCTGTGAGCCGGACATGAAGGGGGCCCAGGCTGGGACGGTGGGCTCTCCAGGCAGGGGCAGACCAAGGTGCACAGACCTTAAGACAGGAGCCAGCTTGAAGAACGAAAGAGAGGCCAGGGTGGCCGGGGAGGCCAGAACCTCATGGGTGAGGAAGAGAATAGCCTGATGAGGGATGAAGTGGGCACCAGGCTGGTCACTAGGGCCTTCTCAGTCCTGGTGAGGAACTGCGTTTGTTCAGAAGTCAGTAGGAAAGTTGCGGAATGCTTTGTATTTTGTGTGTGGTTTCTATCGGAGGAAGGTTGCTGGGGCCATGTTCTTGGCCACAAGGAAGGCACTCCATCAGCAAGGCCAGAGGTGAGGGGGAGGTGTGCAGGCGGAGATGGGGCTTCAGGGGGCTATCCCGGCCTGGGGCTTTCTCCCAGGCTGATGGGGAGCACCAGTTAGGACAGCTGCAGTCTGGAGTTTGGTCTCAGGTGACAGGTTAGGTTTGAGATGCCCAAGACAATTGTGTGATGGATGAGTGAGTGTTAAACCTTTTCTGGGGTCCTGGGTTTCTTGGGAATTCCGTGACAACTACAGACCCTTTCCCCCAGAATAACACACACACACGTATGTATACCCAGCAAATGCTGAGAGTCCAGCTCAGACCAGGCACTGTGCCCAGCCCCGGAGGAGCAGGAGTCTACATGGCAAAGTCGGTCTGGGCCTCTGGGAGATGGCCTTAGAACTTGGAGAGATTACCAGGCATCATGGCTCACACCTGTAATCCAACCAGTTTGGGAGGCTGAGGCAGGAGGATCACTCGAGCCTGGGATTTCGAGACCAGCCTGGGCAGCATAGCAAGACCTCATCTCTACAAAAAACTTTTTTAAAGAAATTAGCAGCCGGGCACGGTGGCTCAAGCCTGTAATCCTAGCACTTTGGGAGGCCGAGACGGGCGGATTACGAGGTCAGGAGATCGAGACCATCCTGGCTAACACTGTGAAACCCCGTCTCTACTAAAAAAATACAAAAAACTAGCCAGACGAGGTGGCAGGCGCCTGTAGTCCCAGCTACTCGGGAGGCTGAGGCAGGAGAATGGCGTAAACCCAGGAGGCGGAGCTTGCAGTGAGCCGAGATCTGGCCACTGCACTCCAGCCTGGGAGACAGAGCCAGACTCCGTCTCAAAAAAAAAAAAAAAAAGAAATTAGCTGGGCATGATGGCACATGCATGTAGTCCCAGCTACTCAGGAGGCTGAGGCAGGAGGATCCTTTGAGCCCAGGAAGTCGAGGCTGCAGTGAGCTATGATGACCACTACACCCCAGCCTGAGCAACAAAGCGAGACTCTATCTCTAAAAAAAATTGTAAAAAGAACTTGTAAAAGCTGGCGCAGTGGCTCATGCCTGTAATCCCAGCACTCAGGGAGGCTGAGGCGGGCGGATCACCTGAGGTCAGGAGTTTGAGACCAGCCTGGCCAACATGGTGAAACATGGAGACATGGTGAAACCCTGTCTCTACCAAAAATATAAAAAATTAGCCAGGCGTGGTGGTGCGCACCTGTAATCCCAGCACTCTGGGAGGCTGAGGCGGGCACATGACCTGAGGTCAGGAGTTTGAGACCAGTCTGGCCAACATGGTGAAACCCCGTCTCTACTAAAAATACAAAAATTAGCCTTGGGTGGTGGCGCATGCCTGTAATCCCAGCTACTTGGGAGGCAGGAGAATCACTTGAACCCAGGAGGCGGAGGTTGCAGTGAGCCGAGATTGCGCCACTGCACTCCAGCCTGGCGACAGAGTGAGACTCAGTCTCAACAATAAAAAAAATAACTTGGAAAGGTGAACTTGAAACAATAATCACAAGTGATCACCCTAGCAATTAATCACAGATGGGAAGATTGATAATAGCAACTCCTGGTCCAGTCTGAATGAGTGGGGAGAGCCTAGGGTCCAAGGCAGCGGTGTAGGAAATCTCCTGAGTTACCGGCCATTGGCATGTGATAGGGCCAGGCAGGGGCCAGGGGACACCGTGCTCTATAGCTCCAGGAAGAGTTCGGGTGTGAGGGTCTCCATAGGTCCTCGAACTCTCTGGAGTCCATGCTTGGGCCTCGGGTCCGGAACCACAAAGCCGCTCTCCCTCGGTTCCTTCCCGGGCCGACCTTCGGCCTCCCGCCCAGCCTAACTTGCCCTCCTGGCCTAGTAACCTGTGTTCCCCTTTACTTCTCTCCCCAAGGATTTGGAAGGAGTGCCACCCTCTAAAAAGATGAAACTGGAGGCCTCTCAACAAAACTCCGAAGAGATGTAGACGATGCTTTAAAGCCTCCGATCCATGTTCCATGGAAGGTACATCAGCAATTAATTCTAGAGCAACTTTGCCCCAGCGATTCCTCTTGGGTGCGAACAGAACTACTAACGTTTCAAGTTTACCAAGTGCAAATCCAAGGAGACCCAGAACGGCGTCACTTCTCAGACACTGAAGAACTCTGCTGTGAAGCAAAACACTCAAACCTTTAAGGGACTGTCCTTGGGGAGGCAGGTGGGGCTGACAGCTCAGGAGTGTCTGCACACTGTCTCGGAAGCCAGGATTCCATTTGTGTTGCTGCTGTATTTTTTTCCCCACTTCTCTATGTATCGATATAAGCTATTGGAGGGTGGTACCGATCAGGAACGCTTTTCGGCGGGGCTTTTCACTGTTCAACCGATTCCTTCCGCTTTCTTTTTTTGTGCCTTGTGCCCTTGAGGTGACCTCTGGCATGTATCCTGGTGGTTCTTGCATCCCCCTCTGCAAAGTGCCCTCTTGGTTTGGTTCGGGCGGCAGCTGCCACCCTACTCACCGCTCTCCTCCCTGCCCCAGGACTTCATCGGAGCAGGCAGGGTGGAGCGGAGGAGCTCCTTAGCCCACCTGGTTTGCAGGTGCAGGGGGACCTTAGGCATGCCCCAAGTACCAGGCACCAGGGCCCAAGGACACGCAGGTGTTGGGGCATAGTCCCCAAGGGCTCGGCTCCTTGGATCAGGCTGGGCACTCACTGTGCTGTCCCCTCCTTGGGGCGTTCAGGACTGGGCGTCTCCAAGCCCACCATGGCCCAGATGGACATGCAAAGCCCTTGGAATTTTCTGGCACTTCCTCTCTATTGCCCCCCGCACCACCACCACCACCACCCCCATTAGTGCTTTCTCCCAGACCTCCGAATACGAAATGGCTTCTCTGGCTGACTGCAAGGCTGTGTCCTTAAGGTACTGAGTGGGCCGGGGAGGCTGGGAGCCGGCGGCAGGATTAGCTGGTGCTGAACTTTCTCTCATAGGACGTCGCTTGGATTTCAAATCCACAGTCACCTGCTGCCCTTTGCCTCCCCCGACGCCCCAGCCGGTGCCCCAGAGAGGCAGGATCGCAGCGGTCAGAATCCATGTGCTTTCCTATTCACAGGCTGTTCTGACTCTCAGAGCCAACAGCTGGACCGTGTCTCATCCCCGGAACATGCCGTCTGTCCCCACCAGGGAGCGGGCCTTGATGGCTGGGCCTCGAAGGCCACAAACAAGACGTCGAGGAATTGGAAAGATTTGCACACCCTCCAGAAAGGAGAGACGCAATCTCCCCTCCCTCCCATCCCGCACCTGCGCTGGAACAGCTTCCTCTCACTGAACGGAGACGCCCCCTTGGACGAACTGCCTAATTGTTTGGTTCTGAGGCCTGGTTTGCTCTTAATTAATATATGAACTCCTCAGACCTTAAACCTTTTCCTAAGCTTTCTTTACTGCACTGGAGTTCTGACTCCCTTTGAGTTGTGTGTTACCGGGGGGGTGGGGGTTGCGGGTTTTGTTGTTTTTGGGGGCTAATTGGTGCATATTCAGGTACCACCTTTGACGTGTGGATCTTTCTCCTGACCATCACGGGAAGTGTCTGCTGGATTCCATTTTTTAAGAGTTTCTGAGGGTGAGGCTCTTATTTTTTTTCAAGGGATCCTGTCTATTTCCTGCACTTCAAGAAGAATCAAAATGTTCCTGAATTTCAAATACCTCATGCAAAATGTCTCCTGAAATAAGGGAAAAAAAAAAAAAAAAACAAAAAAACTTTGAAAATCTTAATGTTGAAGTTAGCAATGCTGAAAGGTTTCTGTCTTAAAAAAAAAAAATCCTTGTACTTATCAATTTTGCCCCTTAGGCAGTCAGTTTTGTTGAGAACTGTGTCCTGTATCCTGGCGCAGAACCTACCTGATGTGGTTCCTCTCCACGCATCTCAAGGCGGCGTTACCTCCAGATCCTGTAGAGTTAGAGTCACATTTTTCTTTGCAGCAAAACTCCATTTTGGTGAGAGATGAATTTGGATATTTATTTCCTTTTCTTTTTTGGGAAACGAGAGGCTACAACCAAGACAGCTGAAGGAGAATGAAACACACATTTACAGAAACAGAGAGGCGTAGGTGGCCCTGCCATTGGCAGCAGCCTCTCTGGACAGGCAAGGGGAGTTGGCGCAGGTAAGGACTAAGACGACGTCCACCATACCGAGGCTGTCACTAGTATTTCTCTGAAGTGCCTGAAGGTAGGAGTGGGCCGGCGATTGGGACCAGCTGGGCCCCACCACGGCCATGCCAGGCAAAGCGCCAGCAGCCCTGCACTCCACGCTGGCCAAGAAGGCCTTCCACGCAGAATAACGAGACTGCAAAAATCCGATGTGCTTCCTTCCCTGGCGCAGTCGCTCCTCTGAGCTGCTGCCCCCCATCCACCCTGCGCCCCTCGCCCTCCCCCCACCACAGAATCTAAGACCTTTCAGCTTCGAGCCAGGGGGCGGGGGATCCCGAGCAAAAGCCTTCCGTGGACATCAGGCCCCGTGGCCTCAAGGGCTCCCAGGGCAAACCTAATTTCCCCCAAAACTTAAAGTCGGGGAAGCTGCGGCTACACATTCCACAAAGTGCTGGCACTTACACCTACAACCCGGAAGGCTGTGGACCGATTCCTCTAGGGTGGTGACCTCCCATTAGCAAACAGTGTCATGGTTTGGAATGTTCATTATCGCCGAGAACCTGGTTAGAGGCATAAAGACCTTTTTTCACTGTTACCTAATTTTTTTCCCCTCTCAAGACTTTTTTTTTTTTTTTGGTGTGTTGTACAGCAGTATAATTTTTCACTTATTTATTCCATCAGTAGATATGGTTTGTACAATGTACAATGGTTTCATTTCAGAAAATAAAAATTTCAAATCATGAATACCTTGTGGTTTTGTCACATTTTAAGTAAGTAAAGTCAGATCGATGATGACGTTGTCCCTCTCTAGCTGCTCCAGCCTCTCCTGCATGGCTGTGTCGCCCTGATTCTACAAGACACACAAGTTCCTTGCACACAGGAGCTGTTGCCTTCCACAGTCATAAGAGCTGCCATTATTAAGCACCAACTGGATGCCAGGCAACCCACTAGTTGCTCCTTTCTGTGGGCAGGTATTGTCGGCCACCTTGTGCAGGTGAGAAAACAGCAGGACAGTCCCATGTAGGACTCTCATGCCCGGTCAGGCCCCCAGGTTGAAAGCCACACCCGAGGCCAGGTGTGGTGACTCACGCCTGTAATCCCAGCACTTTGGGAGGCCGAGAAAGGCGATCACCTGAGGCCAGGAGTTTGAGACCAGCCTGGGCAACATAGCGAAACCCCGTGTCTACTAAAAATACAAAAATTAGCCAGGTGTGGTGGCATGCACCTGTAATCCCAGCTAGTTGGGAGGCTGAAGCAGGAGAATGGCTTGAACCTGGGAGGCGGAGGTTGCAGTGAGCTGAGATCACGCCACTGCACTCCAGCCTGGGTGCAACAGAGTGAGACTCTGTCTCAAAA